GTGTGATGGGGGTGCCAGGGTAGGGGTAAGTGCGGCTCTCCCACTGGATATTTCCTTCTTGCACTGCTTTGATAAAGCCATGATAGCACTGATGGGCCACACCTAAGGAAAAATGAGATGTCAGCAAAATTCAGGACACATTAGGAACAAACTGTGCCTGCAGTTGCACAAGCAGCATGACAGCAATTATAAAGAACCCCTGTATTTAGATTATAAATACGCTGGTGGAAATTCAGAGGATTAAAGGGAATAAAGAATAGGGAGTCTGCAAATGTGGAAAATCAGCAACGTTCACCAAACAGATTCACTACATTTCTGATACCTGTCAGCTCTCACTGGGTAAAGCAAAGCCTTTGTGAAAGGTAAGCACGCGTGATGCCTTTGCAGAGCTGTTTTTCAGCCTTCTCTGCTGCAATGCAAGCCTGCTGTCCCCTCATCACACCCCCAGAGGAGCAGCTGCCCTTCCCTTAACGAATCTTTGAGGACAAACAACATGCCGTAATGAATTTTAAGAGCATGCATGCTACTGCACAGAAATTTAAAATAAATACGAGAGGAGACATTGGTGATAAAAGTCAGCATGTCTTAGGTGAAAGTTTCCCTTCTCAGCTGTGCAAGGGAACAGATTTGGCCGAACACAGCTCCTCTGCAGAGCAAGCCAGCCCCAGAGCTCCAATTAATTCTGTGTATGGAGTACACGTGTCTGTGTTTCATAGAATCATAGAATGTTTTGGGTTGGAAGGGACCCCTAGAGGTCACCCAGCCCAACCCCCCTGCAGGAGCAGGGACACCGCTAACTAGATCAGGCTGCTCAGAGCCCCGTCCAACCTGGTCTTGAATGTTTCCAGGGATGGGGCCTCCACCACCTCTCTGGGCAACCTGTTCCAGTGTTTCACCACTCTCATTGTAAAGAATTTCTTCCTTATATCTAGTCTAAACCTACCCTGGTTTAGTTTAAAACCATTACCCCTTGTCTTGTCACTGCTGGCCCTACTAAAAAGATTTTCCCCGTCTTTCCTATAGGCCCCCTTTAGGTACTGAAAGGCCGCAATCAGGTCTCCCCACAGCCTTCTCTTCTCCAGGCTGAACAAGCCCAGCTCCCT